CTTGAATTTGTCGGAAGAAAAACAGCTAATCGTTTGCATTTGAAACCCCAGATCAAACGCAAAACGAAATGAAAAACCAGAACGGGAAAACAAATTAAAAAAAATGCGTTGTAAGCCGGAAGAAAAGATAACAAGGCTGGAGAAAAGGAAAAGGAAAAATCGCACCAGACTTTTGAGCGTGAGTGTTTTAGAGAATCCGCTCTAGTCTGAAACTCTCTTCTTCCCTTTCGAGGACGGGTTTTTCTTTCTATCCCTCTCCCCACCCCTCCCCTCTAAGCCTGGAGAGGGCGCCCCGTGGGTCTTCAGAGGGGTCTGTTTGGATTTCTGGGAAGGTTAAAATTCTATATCCTGCGAGGATTCTGGCTTCGACAGGCGGATGCAGAAAAGTGCTCGCCCCATCTGTGCTCGACGCCTAACAAATGGCCCCAAGATTCCTCCCAGATCTTCTTTGAAGATTCCCAAGAAGTTCCAAGAAGGTCTCAAGAGGCCCCCAAGAGGCGCCCAAGAGGCTCACCGGAAACACCCGCCAATGACGAATAGGCCTCCAAGGCTCACCAAACGGCCCCCAAAATGCACCCAAGAAGCCCGAAGAGGCTCCCCCAAGGCACCCAAGACGCTCCTAGAAGTCTCTGGGGCCGCCAGGAGGCCCCGAAAACACTCCAAAAAGATCCAAAGAACCTCCACACGAGGGCCCCGAACGAGTCTCACCTCGAAGAGCCCGAACGAGTTACACCAGGAGGAGGGGCCCGAACGAATCACACCAGGACGAAGGGCTCCGAACGACTCTCACCTCGAGGAGCTCGAACGACTCACACCAGGACGAAGACTACGAGGACCCCGAACGACTCACACCAGGAAAAGGGGCCCGAACGACTCACACCAGGACGAAGGGCCCGAACAACTCACACCACGAGAAACCCGAACGACTCACACCAGGACGCAAAGCCCGAACGACTCACACACACCAGGAAGAAGAGCCCGAAAGACTCACACCAAGACGAGAGGCCCGAACGACTCGAACCACGAGAAGCCCGAACGGTTCACACCTGGACGAGGGGCCCGAACGACTCACACCAGGAATAAGGTCCCGAAGGACTCACGCAAGGACGACGGGGCCGAAGGACTCACACCACGAGGGTCCCCAACGACTCCCACCAGTCGTCGTCGTCGTCGTCGTCGTCGTCGTCGTCGTCGTCGTGGTCGTGGTTGTGGTCGCCGTCGCCGCCTTCGCCGCCTTCGCCGCCTTCGTCGTCGTCGACGTCGTCGTCGTCGTCGCGGTTGTGGTCGTCGTCGTCGTTGCGGTCGATATCGTCGTCGTCGTCAGGTGTGTCGTCGTTGTTGGGATCATTGTTATGGTCGTCGTCTCCGCTAAGTCCCTCTTGCCTCCCACCGCTTTCTCTCCCTCCTCCTCCGCCTCATCCTTCTCCCGCTCCCCCCACAAGGAGGATGTACAAGGAGGCGGGAGGAAAGAGGAACAGGGGAGATATGTGGGGGCAAGCGGACACACACACACACACACACACACACACACACACACACAACACACACACACACAACACACACACACACACACACACACACCACACACACACACACACACACACACACACACACACACACAACACACACACACACACACACACACACACACACACACACACACACACACACACACACACACACACACACACACACACACACACACACACACACACACACACACACACACACACACACACACACACCACACACACAACACACACACACACACACACACACACACACCACACACACCACACACACACACACACCACACACACACACACACACACACACACACACACACACACACACACACCACACACACACACA